AAAGGCCTTATGAATGCAGTGAATGTGGGAAATCTTTTATCTCTAGGTCTGATCTCCGTTATCATCAGAGAGTTCATTCTGGAGAAAGGCCTTACGAGTGCAGTGAATGTGGGAAATCTTTTATCACTCGTACTGCTCTCCGTTATCATCACAGAGTTCACACTGGAGAAAGGCCTTATGAGTGCAGTGAGTGTGGCAAGTCCTTTACCCGAAGAAATAACCTCATTATACACCTAAGAGTTCACTCAGGTGAAAGACCTTATGAGTGTAGTGAATGTGGGAAATCTTTTACCTTTAGCTCTAGCCTGCGTTACCACCACAGAGTTCACACTGGAGAAAGACCTTATGAGTGTAGTGAATGTGGGAAATCGTTTAACAATAGGTGGACGCTCATTCGACACCGGAGAATTCACACAGGAGAAAAGCCTTACGTGTGCAGTAAATGTGGGAAATCTTTTACCTGTAGCTCCACTCTCCAGTATCATCATCGAGGTCACCTTGGAGAAAGACCTTATGAGTGCAGTGAATGTGGGAGGTCTTTTACCACTAGCTCTGCCCTCCGTTATCACCAGAGAGTTCACACTGGAGAAAGGCCTTATGAGTGCAATGAATGTGGGAAATCTTTTATTTCTAGGTCTGACCTCCATTACCATCATAGAGTTCATTCTGGAGAAAGGCCTTATGAGTGTAGTGAATGTGGGAAATCCTTTATCCGAAGAAATAACCTCATTTTACATCAGAGAGTTCACACAGGAGAAAGGCCTTACAAATGTAGTGAATGTGGGAAATCTTTTAACAATAGATGGACACTCATTCAACACCAGAGAGTTCACACAGGAGAAAAACCATATGTGTGCAGTGAGTGTGGGAAGTCTTTTACCTGTAGCTCCACACTCTGTTACCATCAAAGAGTTCATGAAGGTAAAAGGCCTTATGAGTGCAATGAATGTGGGAAATCTTTTACCTCCAGTTCCACTCTCCGTTATCATCAGAGAGTTCACACAGGAGAAAGGCCTTACAAGTGCACTGAGTGTGGGAAATCTTTTACCTTTAGTGCCAGCCTTCGATATCATCACAGAGTTCACAGTGGAGAAAGGCCTTATGAGTGCACTGAATGTGGGAAATCCTTTAAGGATAGATCACAATTCAATAAACACCGGAGAACTCACACGGGAGAAAGGCCTTATGAGTGCAGTGAATGTGGGAAGACATTTAGCCAAAAATCTTCCCTGTCAATACACCAGAGAATTCATAATAGTGAACGGTCTTATGAGTGTAGTGCTTGTGGGAAATCTTTCACATCTATATCTGGCCTTGGTTATCATCATAGAGTTCATAGGGGAGAAAAGCCTTATCAGTGCAGTGAATGTGGGAAATCTTTTACCAATAGCTCAATACTCATTCGACACCAGAGGGTTCACACAGGAGAAAGACCTTATGTGTGCGGTGAATGTGGAAAATCTTTTACCAGTAGTGCTACCCTCTCTTACCATCAGAGAGTTCATGCAGGTAAAAGGCCTTATGAGTGCAGTGAATGTGGGAAGTCATTTACCTCCAGTTCCACCCTTCGTTATCATCAGAGAGTTCATGCAGGAGATAGGCCTTACGGGTGTAGTGAATGTGGGAAATCTTTTATCTCTAGCTCCAAACTACGCTACCATCAGAGAGTTCACACTGGAGAAAGGCCTTATGAGTGCAGTGAGTGTGGGAAATCCTTCAGGGATAGTTCCCAATTCAGTCAACACCGGAGAGGTCATACTGGAGAAAGGCCTTATGAGTGCAGTGAATGTGGGAAGTTTTTTACACGGAAATCTACCCTCTCTCAACATCAGAGAGTTCACACAAGGGAAAGGCCTTAGGTTGCAGGGAAGGTGTAATTTCCTATTCACTGTAACAACACTGCAGGGAACTCTGAGGAGCCATCTGTCTGCCCTGAGTCTCAGACAGCTGAATGTGCACAGTGGGATAATCCATGTAAGTTTCTATAAGGTAGTAGGAAGCTTGTGTAAATATGTTGCACTTTCTAAACTGTCCAGGGGTCTTTCTGGATTTAGCTCACTGCTAGATTTTGTGACCAAAGCCTTTTCATCTCTCCTGACTGGCAGGTGCAGAGGGTGCACCAGTCACCTACCTCCACAGTGTATTCAGGGAAGGTGACCTTTGTTCTCTCGTGAATTGGAACAAATTAGGAGTGACCTGAGCCCTTAGGGTCAGTTTCCCCATCTCCTTAACTACCTTGGGCAGGGACCTGAATCACTGATGACCCAGGGAATAGGAGTTTGGCTGGCAGCTTACAGAGAATGACTATCTTTTTCAGGGACATGTTAGTTTCATGTGACATTTGCGATGAGCTTTTCCAGCTTCCAAGTCCCAAACGTTAACTGTGCTGCACGTTGCTTTGGCTTATGTGATGATCAACGCCTTATTCTTTAAGTCCTCTTTAATCTTGGATATTCTGCTTACTCT